TGCAGTCACCAAGTTCCAGCCAGTGCATTACCAAGGCTGCTCATGTACTTACCACTTCTACCCTGGCCACCCTAAGTTCCACTCCCAATCTAATAGCCATAGTGGGCCCTTGGCGAAAACCACCGTTCTCCCCATCTTATTCAGAGAAAAAAAAGTCACAGACCTTAGAATGGCCTACGAGGTCCCACGTGAATTGTCACTCATGATCTTTCTAATCTCATCTTTGAGGACACTTCTGATAATCCTAGAACAGGCCAGAAATAGCCTAGCAGTTCCCTCTGCCAAAAACGCTCTTCCCCACATAACTTTCTGATCTCCTTCAAGTCTGTTTAAATGCTGCCTTAACTCTTCTACGGCCTGCTTATTTAAAATCATAATTCACTTCTCTATCCTAAACTTGTTCTACTCGTTCCCCCATAACATTCATCAAATGCTATCATTCTTATTTAACCTCTATTATTAATTTTCTTCCCTCTTCTACAGAACATAAGCTCAACAGAGGCAAGGATTTTTATTGTTTTACTCACAGGTGGTATATCATCCATGCCTATCATCCATGAGTGCCTGATACAAGTAGACACACAATAAATACCACTGAATAAATTAGTATATCATAAGGATGTCCTCTTTTACCTGCCAAAGATCTCTGCATGCACTGGACATTTATTTTAGAACCCTATCTATATTTTTAAATAATATAGAGAGATCTTTTGCTTGAAGACGTGTTGGAAAGTTATCTTTTCTTATATTTTAATAGCCACATAGGCTTTAAATGATGCAGACCACCTAGGAGAACTAGATATTTCATTAAATGGTAGGATGACAAAACACACACACACCACACACACACACACACACACACACACACACACACACTACCCAAATCATAAAATATTCATACTGCATGGTTGGATTCAAAATACTGGGTGGTTCAAAAATCACAGCAGAATACCAGGAGGCCCAGGGTTGCACAAATCAAATACCAAGTCATTTATCATTAACTTTACTTATTAATAGCTTGGTCAGATTCTCACCTGCTCTAATACTTCTGCTTGAAGAAAACACCATTTGGATTGAGAAAACTGTAGTTCACTGAAACTGAGTTTGGCTGAGATAATAGAGTTTACATTCCATTGTTGGCTAGATCCTAACCCCATGGAATGTGTCAGAACGGGATTCTGGCCGTAAAGAGGATGGCAGTGCTTTGACCAAACACTACCCCAGGGAATTATACATTAACTTATACATTATAGACTATGTGTCACATATGCATTAAATATTCACTTCAAAAATCCCCTTCCCACTCCATGATTGCCTGGAGTGAAAGGCTCTTGGGTGAAAGAATTCACTCCCCTGCATAATCTCCAAACTGGGCATCTGCCACCCTCTCTACATGACCCTTTTTACTTCCTTGCACAGTCAGTGTCCCCCCTCTGTGATGAACAATGAGCAAGGGATTTATGTGATACTATTAGCAACAGGACTAACTCAGTTCTTGGATGAACTTAGAAAAAGGAAAAGCACCTAGCAAAAACTCCACAAGGGCTGTAGATTCAGGGTCCCATGCTTACAGGGCCAGCTGATCAAACAGAAGCCTCACTGATCTGCATCCTCCCTGCAGGATGTCTACAAGTAAACAGGCCTGCATCTGCTGCCTCACACAGCTGCAAACATCCTCAAGGCCAGAAGCACCTGCACTGTCTGTTTGGACTATGCAAAGTCCCCAGCTCTGCCCACCCAGCCATTCTGACTCTGAGACAGGGCCAGGGAATCTGCTTTTAAGATGCCTCAGGAGATACAAATACAAGCCACGCTTTGAACAACATCTTTACATCTTAACTGAGTTACTTAAAAGCCTCTTACTCAGTAAGTACTTAAAAAGTGGAATTCACCTTCATGATTGTACATCCATTCATTCATGTAGAGACACTGTCTCTATTGCCTGTCCTCTGGATTCTTCTATCTTTTTTGAAAAAAACATTTATTTATTTATTTATCTATTAGTTGCAGTTGAGCACAATATCTTTTTTATTTTATTTGCTTTTTATGTTTAGGTGGTGCTGAGGATCGAACCCAGGGCATTGCACATGTGAGGCGAGCACTCTATGGCTGAGCCACAACCCCAGCCCTGGATTCCTCTATCTTATTAGGAAACTTTAGGCAGGTCATCCTAACCTCCACCAATATTATTGGGGGTAATGAATTTAGAAAGAGAAAAGTGATTGTGCAACCACATGGTCTGTGAGGACATGGACCATTTCATCTTCCCTGTTGTTCTTATTTCAAGGCAATGGAGCCCCAGAGCCACCATCAGCATCTGTGTCTGACATGAAGCTATCAACCACACTTAGGTTACAGAGGGAGGAAAGAAAGAGGCACCACAGGCTCCACAATGCCTCCAGCCACGCCCAGCATCTCCTTGGAACTGAGAGGCGGTCACACAAGGTGACAGGGATGGCCCTCGAGCTGCTTGGCATGGGCCCACTCCACTTAACGAGTGTTCAGAATCACACTCAGCATGGAGAAATTCACCCTGACCCTGGATGCTTGCCCCCTGGCATACGCTCACTTACATTTTTACTCAATTACTATTTCTAAGAACAGAGACAAAAAAAAAAAAGAAAGAAAGAAAGAAAGAAAGGAAGAAAGAAAGAAAGAAAGAAAGAAAGAAAGAAAGAAAGAAAGAAAGAAAGAAAGAAAAGAGAAAGGAAGAAAGAAAGACAAGACATGCAGAGCCCCACTGTCTTGCATGGAAGGTCTGAGAAGGGTCAGCTGGGGGCTGGGAAGTAAAGAGCCTCCCACTCATGGGAATCCACGTGGAGCCGTGCCCCATCTACCTGGCCACACCCTTGGAGAAACGATTGGTCTTTTCAGGGCAGGCGGGCTTCCCGTGTTTTTCCCCAAAAGAAAAGGGAAGTTTGAAACAAACAAGTGATAAAAAAAAAATAACACCAAGGGCTGGGGTTGCGGCTCAGCGGTAGAGCGCTCCCCTCACAAGTGCGAGATCTGGGGTTCGATCCTCAGCACCACATAAAAATAAACAAGTAAATAAAGGTGTTAAAAAAAATCACCCCAAGTAAGAAGGAGACTCTAAGAAGAAAAACCAACGGAAGAACCAAGGAAGACCTCTCTACTACCAGAGGGAGGGATGAAAAGGAAATCAGTCCACAGCAGGAGGGAAGAAAGGGACCTAATGAACGGGTGACAGCATCTAGATCTGTGACCAAGGACGAGGCATTTAGCTCTCCAAACCCCAACTTCCTGAAGATTGGGGATTGCCCTCCTGGCCTTCCCTGCCCAACCAACATGACAAGAATCAGGATGAGGACTAGCAACATGGGGTTCTCCAACAAATTTTTCCTTCCTTCTTTCCCCTTCTCTTCCTTCCAACAAGCCAGTCAATGGGCAGGGAAAAACTGGACATTCCACTTTTGGGTTTAAGGAGTGAAATAAAATTCAAATTCAAATATAGTTTGTCTCACAAAAGGGATTTTTAATTATCTTTCTTTATTGAGTTTGAATTTTCTTTCTTTTTCAAATTTTCTCTCTCCCTCCCTCCTTCCTTTTATATTCCCAGCCTTTTAAAACTTTTTATTTTTATTTCTTTAATTTGAAGCAAGTTCTCAATAGGTTGCTTAGGGCCTCTTTAAATTACTGGGGCTTCTAACTTGCAAACCTCTTGCCTCAGCCTCCCTACCTCTTTCCAACCCATTGCAGGGACTATAGACATGAACCACCAAACTGGTAAAAGGGGGCTTTTAAAGCATGCATTAAATCTTTCACTCTTCATTCATATAGCAGCTTCTAGACACTCTTAGGGTTTCTGTAGTAAAATAAACATGTACTCTCAACAGAATCAGGGTGTTGTTGTTTTTCTTTCATTTTTTCCCCCTTTGAGGAAATCCCAGCATAGGCCACTGTAAATAAACTATATTGATTCCTAAGAAGAAAGATTAAGCACAGTAAGTTACAGAATAGGATATCCAGGGAACCAGGCTTCTATCAGAAAAATAGAAACATTTCCTTTGTCTCTATCCAGGTCACCGCCCTCCCACATTTACAATCAACATAATTAAAACCTTCTCAGGGCCTCAAATACAGGTGGTTAACTAATGCCAGGATTGTGAGTCTGTTTCTTGTTTTCCTAAGCAGGATTTGGGGACAACTCAGCCACTGAATTTATTGAATGCTAGGATCACTCAAGCTCTATTCTTAGGTCCAGACTCATTGCCTAGCATACAGAAGGCATTCAATAAATGCTGGTGGCAATACAATTATGTCCCAAATCAGAAAGAGGTAGAGACCTCTGGCTTTGGTGCTCCTTTTCCTAACCCATTGCACTGGCTCTGAGAAGCCTGCACTTTGTGTGAGGGTCAGGGATAAATAGTTCAAGCAAGCAGCAAGCTCAAGTCCAATTAGCTGAGGATGGACCCCTGTCAGTCCATTTTCTCATGCAACTTAGACATGTCAATATGAAAGTCACAAATAATGGCATCAGCATAACTCTCCCTTAGGCCTCCTGCAAAAAACCTCAAAGGAGAGGAAAATCTCCTTTTCCCCCTTTAGTTCAGAACAAAAACAGTAATTAAGCAACTACTATGTGTCGGGAATAGCAACATACACATAAACAAGATATGAAAAAACAACCTTCCTTTGACATTCAGGCTATACTGTTCAACTCTCCAGAGAAGCCTCTCTGGGGATCAGGAGATCAATATTTCCAATCCCTCTGTGTCCCTTGGAACACATATTTCATTACCCCCAAGTAATACTTTCACAAGCTACAGTCAAGTCATGGCACATCTTCCAAGCTGTTCATCAGCTCTTCTCATGTAAACTCTGACTAGAAAATGTCAGACACCTTTGTGATAAACTCAGCTACAAGGCTGCATTTCAGAATCCTATTTAGCCTCTAATGTACACCCCACAGGAGACAGAAACCAAAGACGGACTTGATATCACCACGTCAAACGAGGAATAAAGCAGACGAGTGTACTCACCAAGGTACCCACAGAGCACCTGGGACTGTCTGGCGCACAAGCTGCCCACTGAGCCAGAGGGTGTTGTAACAACTGGGCAGACAGCTAGGAGTTTTAAAAAGCACAGTCATTAGCTATTTTACTGAAGAGAGGCCCGACACAGAACTATACAAAGACTCAAAGTAGAAGAGGGACTCGCTGAATGTTCTTATTGCCCCCACCCAAATATACAAGGTCCCTGCAACCCAGGGTCAGGAGATCACACACAAAGATCTATAGAGGATTCTGGATTCTGGTCTCCCAGATCTCCTGGCTTCCCTTAACCAGCTATCAGACTCCTGGATTCTGTTTTCCCTTTAACACACTCTAACATTGAAACGACAATGCACAATTTATAAACTAAAATAGTAAAATAAATACCTTGAGTTATACTAAAGATGAATAAGAAAGGTCTTGACCCTCTTTGACAAAAAAACAGCCTACTCATTAAGAATAATACCTGGTGTTTCTTTGGCTGGCCTAGATTTTTAGAGTTCTTAAAAACCACCTGTCATTATTTTTAACTGGCATATGAAAACTCTGACTTGAAATGAGTCAAAAGTATAAGGGCATATTGGTTGTAGCTGCTTAGCTACAGTTTCGAAAACTGGAGCTCTTTGAAATGGATTAAACATTTCTCCCCTCAGAGTATGACATCCAGAAATTCTGAGCTTCACTTTCCTTAAAATAAAAGCAATTTGGATATTTCCCACCTGATTCTTAGAGACAAAACTACACCAAAAAAAAAAATGTCTCAAATTGAAGAAAAAAAAAACATTCTTGAGTGTTCAAAGGCTTTCCTGCCTATAGTAGGAGCTTTGGATGAGAAGATATGGGCTAAAAATCCCCATTCTATCATTGATTTCCCATGAATCTTTGGACAAGCCCTGGAGTTTACCTGAACTTCAGTGCCTACAAGTTGAGGCAGACATACTGCTATCTCCGAGAGTTTTTGTAAGATGGGAATGAGATGTTATATTTAAAAAAAGACTGGCAAATAAAAATGATTAAGGAATGCAATCATATTAGCTATGTAACTGAGTCCTCCTAGGCCTGGCATGATATAATTCTGTCCTGGCTCCTTGCATAGATAGAAACTATGCATCTTTTATATATGCAGGGCATATCTTCTGCAAGTAACACTGTCACTATTCAGACCTGAATTGAACCCTTCTTTGGATAAAAAAACAAAGGCTTCATGGAATTCTCTTTTTTTTTTTTTTTTTGCCAGATCTGTGCCTTTTATCACTCAATTTTAACATAGATAGTGTCAGCCTTTCCCATACTCTGCAACTTACCATCTCCAACATTCAGCCTCCTACAAAGACCCCAGTGACACTTTTTCACACATACATGGATTATGCGGTCTAGCCAACACACTCTTTCATTGAGATGAGGGTTCTCTGTGGCCAGTGTGGCATGGAAATGAAGGCCTAGCATCTGGGCTGTTAGAAACACATTCTGCTACCCCGATGCCACCATATGCTGCTTCCAGCTGACATCTGTTCCCATATGTTCCTACCAAGAAGCAACCATGCTGTTTATTTTAAGAGCTTTCTCCACAGCCTGATAGGGAGAATATTCCCTCAAATAACCAGTCAGCAAAGACAGGAAGCTACACTGGGTATAAACTGTTTGTCACAAGATTAGCAATCAAAGATTTCTCATTCAAAGTTGGTCTTTAAAAAGAGATGCTGAAAGTTATCCTAAATAAAAATCCACAAGAAAATAACCAAAGGAAGGTAGAAGATGCAAAGTAAGTCGCTTGGTTAGTAATACTTTTTCTCCAAACTATGGCCCTATGCATTTCTTGGGGGGATTTCAATCCTTTTCCTGGGAAACAGCACCTTCTTCAGGCCACTGGATGCCGTGGTACAGAAGAGGGACAGTTCTATCCATGGGATTCAGATCCCTGACACTGCCCTAGGTCACCCAGGTCACAGGTAGGAACAAGGTGACGTGACTACTGTCATTTACAATTTCCAGCATGCTTGACTTAAATATGCCCCTTTGGTTTACTTTCATTCTGCTATAAAGTTGCAGTCTTAAAATTATTTCTTTTCTTTCTTTTTTTCTGTTTTATTTTCAAGCAGAGCCTTAGCAATTAAGATCATGAATTGGGGCTGGGTTGTAGCTCAGTGGTAGAGTGCTTGCCTTGCATGTGAGGCACTGGGTTCAAGCCTCAGCATTGCATAAAAATAAATAAAATAAAGATACTATGTCCATCCACAACTAAAAAAAATATTTTTAAAAAAGATCATGAATTGGATGAAGACATAAAGATGCGAATAGTGACTACTCAGGCCTCAGAAAGCAGTCCTTAGTTTTTAAGTTATCAATTTTCAGTCATCTACATGACTGAAGCAGTATTGGGGAATGGATTTTTTTTTTTTAAGATCAGTGAAGCTCTAGATATATGGGAAATAGTTTGTAAAACGTGAAACACTATAAACATCTGAGACATTTATAGTCTTAGAGAAAGTGCTTTTTAGAAGACTCTGGGCACTCATAATTAATAAATGGGCAACTATGGGTTATACAAGTTATAAAATAGGAGTCCCAGAATTAAAATTTGGTATAGGTGATTTACAAAATAACTAAATGATTCTGATATGAATTATAAGTGTTGGGGTTCAGTTTTGCCTGTGACAACACAGCTCAGAAATAAAACAACAAAGCAACAATGTTTCCAGAGTGTGTTTCTGAATCATTTGAGAGAGAATCACCTGGCCTGCTTGTCAAGATGCAGGTTGCTGAAGCTTAACTTCAAACCACTGAATAATAATTTGGAGATGGGGTGGGAGAAAAAGGCTTAGGAGTTTACATTTACTAATAAGCACCATGCTTGATTTTTCGCATGGTAAATTTGAGAATCATTCGTCCAGGTCTTTGTGACTTATAGGTTAGAAAGGCCATTTATAAAACATCATTTGACCTCAAAGCAATCCATCTAGGTGGGTCAAGGAAAAAGTATCTCCTCATAAGGTTTATATATGTTCTGAGTAAGCAACAGTTTTATATAATGTGAAAATGTCTATTAGCTAGAAATAAAGCCATTCTTGCTGTAATATCTTAAGCAGAATTAAAAATGCTTCAATGCCGTCAGTGGTGGTGGTGCATTCCTGTAATCCCAGCTACTCAAGAGGCTGAGGCAGGAGTATCACAAGTTCAAGGTCAGCCTCAGAAATTTAGTGAGATCCTGTCTCAGAATTAAAAATTTCCTTAAAATGCTTCAATCCCACTAAAATTGCTTCAATAAACTTTATGTCAAATTAGCTCCTGCTCTAGTCCTCTCAACCCTTCCAACAACACAATGCATCTCTTGTAATTTTAACAATTCTAAACATGGATGCTATCTTTCTTCCTGACACTAAACTCTTTTTAGAGAATTTCCAGCAAGTATTACTGAGAAAGGGAAAACTGTTCCAAATATACAATGATTTGGGGTCAACTTGGTTTGAGACCCTATTTTAGAATAAGAATTAATGACATTTGACATGACTCTACATGCATAGTTTCATTATTGGTGGTGATATTTTCTGACAGTGGAATTCTGAAACGTACCTCTCTCCAAGACAAATGAGCACCAGTCACCTCATTCCATGGAGAAAGAAACTCAAGTCTAGTTGGTAAAACAGTGGGAAGTCAGACCTTAGTTCATGGCTATGGCCCACACATTTAACAACTGAAGGTTTAATACTAAAGAGGACCAAATGAGTGACAAAATTACTTTTCAAATAGGTAAGATTTTTTTTTTAAAAAAATGCCTCAAGGTGTCTCAGATATAAAACAGGGTGTAGACAGTGCCAGCAACCTATGGTGATGGAGTTTGATGGACAGGCAGCCTAAAAGGACGGCTATAATTCAGTTCTGGTTCTGCCTTGCCACTTGCAGGTAGAAGTTGGGAGCTCAGAAGCACTCCTTTCTTCATCCTTCCCAAATTTCGGAGCCAAAAGAACCAAGGGATGATTCACCTGGATGTGGAAAGATTTGCCCAAAAAGTCCTAAAAGAGAGACATCCAAGGAGACAGTTCCTTCACTAAATCATCCATCCTCTGCAAAGAAATAAAATGTCCTCTGTCTATGATTGTTTTTTCCTCCTCCTAAAGTAGAATCAAGCTGGATGCAGTGGTGCATGCCTGTAACCCCAGTGGCTCAGGAGGCTGCGGCAGGAGGATCACAAGTTTAATGCCAGCCTTAGCAACTTAGCTAGGTCCTAAGCAACTTAGCAAGACCAAGTCTCAAAATAAAAAATAAAAGAAAGGGCTGGGATGTAGCTCAGTGGTGAAATGCCTCTGGAATAATAATAATAATAATAATAATAATAATAATAATAATAATGTAAAATCAGAATAAGTCATTGACCTTTCTTTCTTATGGGCTTTATGAGCCAGCAGCTTAATTATAAGAGTTCATTATAAAAAAAGTAAAAATGAGTCCAGTGAGATTGCCATGAAGATGTCAAAGCAGAAGTGAAAATGTGACTAAGTCAACAGAAAGAAACTAATGACGGTATGAGAAAGAATCCCTCCAATGGAAGGAATGCCAAGTTACAGCTACAATGGTGTAGACAGAATCATCTCTGATAAACTTGTTCTAAGAAGGATTGAAATAACCAATACTGAAACGAATCCGAAATTTAAAAATTAAATTATACTTTCCAGAATATTCCCATTTATATTCTGGCAACAGGAAACATTTCAGTACTCATAAAACACACTACAAAATTACAATGATCTTGTTTTTTTCAGATAAATTTTTGCAAAGGTCAGTGGACCCTGTGGTCATTTTAGTGTCCTTCTCACAACCAAACTCCGCATTCTTGTTCACAAGATGAGGTAACAAAGATGGCTAGAATAGCCTAAAGTCAGGAATGAGTGATTATCTGTGAACTAATCTGTCAAGACAGATGTGGTATTGGTCAGGGTGGTAACAGGGAAAGCCAGGTGGCCAAAGCCAAGGTTGAAGTCCCAGCATCTTTCATTTGCTTTCATGAAACCAGAAAGATGCTGTAGTATTTCCTGAAACAAACAACAACTCCAAGAAAGCAACCCCTTTTCTCAAAT